CAATCAATCAAATGTTATTGCACTTCCATGGCAAGAATTGCATGCATGTAAGCATCTTCATTAAAGTGAATTAGTGTGAATCTCTCTCAAGCATAAATCTTTCGTCAACAATAATCTACTAATTTTAAGCATGGTCATAAACATAGAAATGCATGGCATTGCATGTTGCCAATATTTTTGAGAGACCCCCAGGCTAATGCAAATGAATACAATTTGTGTCATGCTGGAAACATATAAACATTTTCTGGTGTTTTTTTATTGTTGTTTTTTTTCCGATTAAAGCCAATGCAGCTTCTTTCTTCTTCCAAATAAGGAAATTAACCCACTTCTTTTTTGATTATGGTGGGGAGGGGAAATTACATCATGCACAATAATTTGCACTAGTTATAATGACGTTTGAGATATCTTTAACTTTCATTCTGCCTAGGCAAAACTGAATTACAGATATCTGCAATTGTCATTTAAGATGTGTGACGAGTTGAATGTCGTTTTCAATGACGTCATTGCTGATATCTGTAATTCAGTTTTGCCTAGTCAAAACTGAATTACAGATATCTCTATCTGTCGTTTCGACTAGTCACAATTACGTTACAGATATCTTGAATGACAATTCCAACTATCCAAAATGTAATTACGACTAGTCAGAAAGACGTTGTTGATATCTACAATGTTAATTCCGGATAGTCAAACTTAGCTTTTAAATGCTAAAATGGCTTGCCATACAGGCAAGCCGGACAGATCGCTCTTCTCGCAGTGGATCTGACACCTGTGAGATCAAAGGCGGATATCGCGGGATTCACGGGATTCACGTTCGTGCACGGTGTTGCTAATAAACTGGAAGTAAACTGGATGTTTTGTTGCTTTTATATGAAAATAAATATAATGAACAAGACACCCAAAGTACTTATTTAATTCCATTTTAAATAGGCCTACATGTTTATATGAACCATTTTAAATAGGCCTACATGTTTATATGAATCATTTTTTCTTTAATACAGATATGTGTTTTTTTGTTTTAAATTAAATCACATAGATCGCACTGTCAGAGAGTTTGGGGATATCCACACATAATTTATACACATAAAACATGATATCAGAGTTTTAAAATCAAACATTTTAAAAGAGAAAAATACATCAAGGTTGTTTTTTTTATTTTTTTATTTTTATTATTATTAACAACAACAACATTTCAGTCTTTCCAGTTCACATTCGTTATAATAGTAACAATACAATACGTTAAATGTTGAAAAAAAAAAAACACAAAGAAAAATAAACTTGTGACAGATTTGTATCCCATGACAAAAATAGTTCTAGTGACATATTATCCATTAAAAATTTCTAAATGAATGTTCATTACTGATATGCATTTCTTGCTTGTAAATATTTTCTAAAAATATTACATAACATATAGCCATAAGATGTACATTTCAAGATTTCTTGATATTGATAACAAATGTACTTTTTGTAAAAATGAACTTGAAAATGTTACCCACTTGTTTTATGGTTGTTCATACAGTATTGCATTTTGGAAAGAACTTGAGAATTATATATTATGTAAAACAAAACACAAAATCAACATTGAGGGGAAGAACATTATCACTTATTTTGAATACAAAGAAAATAAACTATGTACTATGATAAACCTTTACATTTTGTTAGGCAAGTTTAATATCCATAAATGTAAATTCCAGAATACATCACGGTTGTTTAAACCAATGAGCATTAAGCTGTGCCGTCAGCAAGTCGTTTCCCATCATGCTTTTGATCAGCGCAGTCGGTGGAGAGCAACTGCGCGCGACTGCAGAATCCGACAAGTGCGCCTTGCTGTCGCGAGAGTTTTTTGACACACGTCAGCATGACATCAGAGCATTTCTAACCGGCATGCATCTCGCGCTGATCACCGGTAATCGGTTCTGCCTGCGCAGATTTTATGGCAAGCCCTTTTAACATTTAAAAGCTAAGTTTGACTATCCGGAATTAACATTGTAGATATCAACAACTTCTTTCTGACTAGTCGTAATTACATTTTGGATAGTTGGAATTGTCATTCAAGATATCTGTAACGTAATTGTGACTAGTCGAAACGAGAGATATCTGTAATTCAGTTTTGACTAGGCAAAACTGAATTACAGATATCTGCAATGACATCATTGAAAACGACATTCAACTCGTCACACATCTTAAATGACAATTGCAGATATCTGTAATTCAGTTTTGCCTAGGCAGAATGAAAGTTAAAGATATCTCAAACGTCATTATAACTAGTGCAAATTGTGCATGATGTAATTTCCCCTCCCCACCATAATCAAAAAAGAAGTGGGTTAATTTCCTTATTTGGAAGAAGAAAGAAGCTGCATTGGCTTTAATCGAAAAAAAAAAAACAACAATAAAAAACACCAGAAAATGTTTATATGTTTCCAGCATGACACAAATTGTATTCATTTGCATTAGCCTGGGGGTCTCTCAAAAATATTGGCAACATGCAATGTTTGCCATGCATTTCTATGTTTATGACCATGCTTAAAATTAGTAGATTATTGTTGACGAAAGATTTATGCTTGAGAGATTCACACTAATTCACTTTAATGAAGATGCTTACATGCATGCAATTCTTGCCATGGAAGTGCAATAACATTTGATTGATTGAACTTCCTTAGATGAGAAAAAACAGTTCTCAGATTAGTTTTTTTTTTCCACAGTAAAAATCCATGATGAGCTAACAGCATTAAAAAGACGATTAAAAACTCCTTCACCCTCGACATGGTGCTAATTAAAAGTGAACAGTTAACAGGTGCTATGTGATTTGATGATTTGAACAACAACACGCTCTGCTCCCGCCTAAAGTGGGATGCGGCCGAGCCTAATTTGCATACAGATATCTGCAACGTCATTTCGCCTAGTCAAAACTCTAATTCAAGATATCTGTAATTACATTTTGACTAGGCAGAATGAAAGTTACAGATATCTCAAATTTCAGATATCTCTAATCAAAATTCATTTTAAGATATCTATAAATTGATAATAGATATCTACAATTAAATTATGACTATCCCTAACTCCAGTTTGAGATATCTACAATGCCATTTTGACTAGTCATAATTCCAGTAACAGATATCTACAACATACTTTCGCCTAGTCCAAACTTAATTTAAGATATCTGAAAAGGAACATGTAGATATCTTGAATTGAGGTGAATTAAAGATATCTTGAATTGGAGTTAGTACTAGTCATAATCAAATTGTAGATATCTTAAACTGGAATTACAGATATCTACAATTCAGTTGCAGATATCCGTAATTCACATAGTGGATATCTCCAACTGAATTGTAGATATCTGTAATGACAAACCCCATACAAATGAATGGCAAAAGTGATGTCATTTGTCCTAGGAAGAATGTCTTTGTGGATATCTGAAAATACAATTACACTGTAAAAAATGATCGTGATTTTAACGGTAAAACACTGTAAAAATGCTACAGTGAAAAACTGTTAATTGGTTAACAGAAAGTTTCCTTATTATATACAGTAAATAACTGTGATATATATAACGGTGCATTTAATTTAATTTTACTGTAAAATAACGTTAAATTTACAGTTTTTGGAAGTGAAAAAGAACAAGTCATTGTATAATTTACAGTGAAAAAATGTAAATTGACATTCCCACAATTCCCTGCGTGACACTTCACATTTGATGTATTTTGTTTTTAAATCACTGTTTCTTCATAATTTTCTTAGTTTTTTTCTAATCAGTTATGTACATTAGGGTTTTATGTTACATTTAATGTTGTTAAATTAATGCTTATTGCATTTTTTAAATTTCAACATGTTACCATGATGGTGTTTAATGTTTGTGTGAATGACACTGTGCAGCTTCTGTATATTAGTATTAACTCTCTTGTGGATGAGCTGCTTATGATGAGCTTTGGTTGACCATTTGACTCCCATCACTGCTGTGATTGTTGGCTGTCAGTGTATTACAATGGAAAAAAAAAACAGATAATACTTCAAAAGGTCAGTATATTAACATTATATCAGATAATGAAATACGGTTTATCGCTGTAAAATTATATACGGTTAAAAGTTGTAAAACCTAAAACGTTGCTACCGTATTTTTAACAGGAAAACTCTGGTAACCACAGCTGCCAGGGTTTTCCTGTAAATTTAACGTTTTTTTTTTTTTACAGTGTATGGATAGGAAGAATGTAGTTGCGGATATCTGAAATGTTCTTTTTGACTAGGCAAAACTGAATTACAGATATCTGCAACACATATCCAGTCTAGCTGTTAAATGTTAATATGGCTTGCCATATTTGTAGGAAGAATGTCTTTGTGGATATCTGAAATGACAATTATGGATAGGAAGAATGTAATTGCGGATATCTGAAATGTTCTTTTTGACTAGGCAAAACTGAATTACAGATATCTGCAACACATATCCAGTCTAGCTGTTAAATGTTAAGATGGCTTGCCATACTGATTTTGCTCATCTCAAACAAGCCTTTTCTTATGTAGTCTACGTTGAATGAAACTGCGCATTATTTTTTTCCGAAGAGCGCGGAATTTTATGACCCAGTATTCTCCAAACCCAACTAGCCTACCTATGTTTTAAAGCATAAAAAAACTTTTATGCAGCTGTTTATGTTTTAAAACATAAAACATAGGCTATACTGTTTTATAATAAATTATGCCTGATAGGCTACAACAAAAGGCAGGAGCAGAAATGTAGATTCACTAATGAAATGTCCATGACTTTCACATAATAGTATTATAAATGATTAAATGTCCATATTTTAAAGCCTGGAAATAACAAATTTTAATAATTATATATCGTATTTCTAGGGTTTTCATAACAACGGGAGCCCCGGTTAATGATGATGCAGCTGTCTGTGCTGCAAAAAAACCCTCTAATTATTTTTTTTGATTTTTTTTGTCGTTTTGATGATGAACTTTTAATGTAATCCAGATCGCTGTGAGCGTCTGCTCGTCGGTTCGGCGGTGTCTCGGCTGTGCTCGGGTGATTCCGTGAATAACTGACTCTTCTCTATTTTGCATACTAGTTCCGAGCGTGTGTCGAAGGCTCTCTGCTCCTGCGATCAGTATCATACTGTGAAGAACGTTTTCCCTGCAATGGACGGGTAAGACTGCGTTGTTTACAGATTATGTGAAATATGTCATTTTCAGAGTATCTTTAGATCGCTTTGAAGCAAGGTTAGTCGCAATCTTTTGCGTTCTGACAAGGCCGCTCACGCAGACTGGTGATGCATCACAGGCAACATTGGCTAATAATAACAAATGCGCGCTAGCTCCGCAGATCAAATGGTATCGCTAAATAGATGCAATATGTATGCACAGAAAATCAAATAACATTCCGAGTCATTTAATATCAGTCTATAAAATGATTCGTGTTATATGATCAACAGGGACATGTAATGTAGTTTAGCTCCACGGCTAACGGTACTGCTGTTGCGCGTGCGGGCGCGTCCGATTCCCTTTGTTTGAATGTAACGGTCACTCACTCCATCCGCGAGCTGAATATAAATGTGTAGTTAATGAATATTACTATAAAACGGCGCACAAGTATTTTTTTTGTGAGCTTTATTCGGCTTATTATAACAAACTGCTGCCAATACTACTGTCCGCATTAAATTGTTTTATGTTGTACTGTTACTGTAACGTTAATAGTTGCAAATGAAAAATGATTGTACCAATGACATTATCTTGTGTTCAGTTGTGACATGATGTGTATTTGATTAAGTGAAACTGTAACAGATCAAACGGCAAAAATGTATCGTACTTTTTCTGTTTTCTCCCTTCAGCATTGCAAGCGATGTTGCAGTTGGTGTGAAGGTAAGTGGTTTTTGCCACTTTTTGCCACGAAGGGAGGGGGGAGGGGTTACAGAATTTATCAAAACAAATCTGAGAGAGTAAACCCGCAGAGGACCATATTATCTTGGGTTGATCTCTAATGTGAACAATAGATACAAATAACAATTATATGAGTTAATACTATATTTTAATCATTTGAACGATTTACTGAATTTGCAGTGTACATCTGTGTCTTTCTAGAGAAGCTCAGATGAATTGCTGTCTGGCAGTCTCTACAACAGTCCAAACTCTTCAGTCACTGGTAAGAGAAATAAACGGACATCAGCTATTGTGTAAAAAAATGCTTTTATAAAATATTTACATAATATACCTGGCAAGGTTTCGTAAAATATACACACAGCAACAAAAATGTAATGATTTATTAGAGTATTTTATAAACAAATGACATCTAAATCCATTCTGCACAATCCCACTGATATTTGTTTTGCAAAATCAGCACAGGAAATGTGAAACAAATTGGCAGATTCCATCTTAATAAATCAGCTGATAACTGAAAATTGCACTTTTTTATGTTTAACTCTTTCTACTGGTGTGGCCATTACCTAATACCACTCACTTGCTAAAAAATAATTCTGTTACCATTCCAGAGGCAGTCATTTAGGGGCTGTTTACACCTGGCCACTTCATGCGTTTTCTCAGATCGGAAACGACCAGGTGTAAATGCCCACCGAAACGCATTCGAGACGGATTTGAATCCGATCGCTCAAACCACTTCAGGAGGAGGTCTGGGCCACATTCCAGATGAAACTGGACAAGTGTAAATGCAACTGGTTGTTGAAACCACATATGTAAATGTTACTCCTCCCAAAAATGCTAAAAAATAAACGTGTGAGCGTGTTATATAGGCTATATGTCATGTTATAGTCAGATATATGACGACGCTACTGCAACACGCTTCACTGCAGCTGAGCATCTATTCATTAAGCCAACGTGCAAACTATCGCAAATGAAAGTGAAAGTAAGCCGCAGACGCTTAACACACAATCATCTTCATTAAAAGTAGCTAATGAAACGAAATTATCTTACCAGGCTGTTGCCGCTCCTTATTGCGGTCTTTGATTTAAAAAATTTAGCTGATGATCAATAAAATGCAGCTTATATTGCATAGCTTATTGTTGCTTTCGGTGACGTGCACTCCATTAAATCTGCATATAGTGCGGGAATTGAAGATCGGATTTATATCCGTTTCGCAAAAACACATTTATATGACCAGGTGTAAATGGAATCGTTTTGATAAATCAGATAGCTATCCGATCTGAGAAAACGCATGAAGTGGCCAGGTGTAAACAGCCTCTTAGAATCTGGGGCTGGATTGGCAAAAATCTTCTTAAGAGAAGTTATGAAAATTCTTAAGATTCATTATTAGCCTTTAGCATCACATATAAATATATTTCTACTTGATCAGAATCCCCATCAGATCTCAATTGGAAGTTATTTCAAACTTGTTTTGAGCTGAAAATTGTTTAAAATGTCTTGAATATTGAGGTTAGCTGGTAGCCTGATATGAAAACATGGGAAATGAGCAGCGGTGCTGACCAATCCTGACTCGGATAAACTTCGCCTTTGTCCATAACCACTCCCAAGTTGGCCTGCTTTGGACCAAGGTATTTGACGGGCCAAAAACTCCTTGCCGTTGGCCCTGAGGAGCCACGATCAAGCCCGGGAAGTGACAGTGGAAACGCGTCTGGCTCTGGCACACACTAGCACACTCGCTTATGGTCCCGACAGTGAAAACGCGGCTCTTGGGAGGTTGGATAACTGTATCATGGCCCAATGTAAGCGGCGTGCGTGGGGAAAGAGCAGCAGAGGCCGTTTCAGCAGTGGCCAACTCCGTTAGGGATGTTAATGGGTTTAAAAAAAAAGATCTAGGCCTAAGTTAAATACTGTAGTATACTATAGAGTATTTATTAAAAGTTGCAAGTTTTATGATCTTGTACTGTTTAATATATAAAACAAACCAATACATTTATTAAAAATCTTACCCTTTGGGTATATACGGCAAGTTGCCAGTTATCCTAACTTTAAGAATTTATTTACAAATGATTTTTAAGAACCTTCTTCACCAGAATTTGAATTAAGTTTTGTCTAAAGAACAATGATAAGAAAAACACGAACATTCTTAAAAGATTAGTTCACTTTAAAATGAAAATTACCCCATTATTGACTCCCCCTCAAGCCATCCTAGGTGTATATGACTTTCTTCTTTCAGACGAATACAATCGGAGTTATATTAAAAAATATCCTGGCTCTTCCAAGCTTTATAATGGCAGTGGAATGCAACCAACAGATTGAAGCTCAAAAAAGTGCATCCATCCATCATAAACTCCACACTGCTCACTTTTTTTTTTTTGCTTCAATCTGTTGGTTGCAATCCACTGCCATTATAAAGCTCGTAAGCGTTCAAAAGTGAACTACTCCTTAAAGAATTATTTTTTGGGAGTACAAATGTTCTTAACTTTTTACTTAACTGCTATTTTATTTTTATTTTCTAAATGTGAATCCCGCCTCTGGACTTTATAATGGACATAACTCTTAACAGACTTTTTTAAATTTGCTGAGGAATTATACATTTTCATTTTATAATAAATGAAATAATGATCATAATGATATATAATTATAATATGACTGTGCAACATACAAATGATACAAAATACACTCACCGGCCACTTTATTAGGTACCCCATGCTAGTAACGGGTTGGACCCCCTTTTGCCTTCAGAACTGCCTCAATTCTTCGTGGCATAGATTCAACAAGGTGCTGGAAGCATTCCTCAGGGAGTTTGGTCCATATTGACATGATGGCATCACACAGTTGCCGCAGATTTGTCGGCTGCACATCCATGATGCGAATCTCCCGTTCCACCACATCCCAAAGATGCTCTATTGGGTTGAGATCTGGTGACTGTGGAGGCCATTTTAGTACAGTGAACTCATTGTCATGTTCAAGAAACCAATTTGAAATGATTAGAGCTTTGTGACATGGTGGAAGTAGCCATCAGAGGATGGGTACATGGTGGCCATAAAGGGATGGACATGGTCAGAAACAATGCTCAGGTAGGCCGTGGCATTTAAACGATGCCCAATTGGCACTAAGGGGCCTAAAGTGTGCCAGGAAAACATCCCCCACACCATTACACCACCACCACCAGCCTGCACAGTGGTAACAAGGCATGATGGTTCCATGTTCTCATTCTGTTTACGCCAAATTCTGACTCTAACATCTGAATGTCTCAACAGAAATCGAGACTCATCAGACCAGGCAACATTTTTCCAGTCTTCAACTGTTCAATTTTGGTGAGCTCTTGCAAATTGTAGCCTCTTTTTCCTATTTGTAGTGGAGATGAGTGGTACCCGGTGGAGTCTTCTGCTGTTGTAGCCCATCCGCCTCAAGGTTGTGCGTGTTGTGGCTTCACAAATGCTTTGCTGCATACCTCGGTTGTAACGAGTGGTTATTTCAGTCACTGTTGCCCTTCTATCAGCTCGAACCAGTCTGGCCATTCTCCTCTGACCTCTGGCATCAACAAGGCATTTCCGCCCACAGAACTGCCGCTCACTGGATGTTTTTTCTTTTTCGGACCATTCTCTGTAAACCCTAGAGATGGTTGTGCGTGAAAATCCCAGTAGATTAGCAGTTTCTGAAATACTCAGACCAGCCCTTCTGGCACCAACAATCATGCCACGTTCAAAGTCACTCAAATCACCTTTCTTCCCCATACTGATGCTCGGTTTGAACTGCAGGAGATTGTCTTGACCATGTCTACATGCCTAAATGCACTGAGTTGCCGCCATGTGATTGGCTGCTTAGAAATTAAGTGTTAACGAGCAGTTGGACAGGTGTACCTAATAAAGTGGCCGGTGAGTGTATATACACGTGACATACGTGGGGCCCTATGATTTCCGCGATGAGGAAAACGTGAACGGAATCACAGAATCATAGAATTTCTGGGGGGGAGAAAGAAATTTCATAGATTTTTTATTTATTTTTTATTTTAATACATGTAGTTGTTTTTATGAATTTAATTAGAGATGCTTTTTGGTTATTCAAATTGAATTAAACCATTAAAATGGAATCCAGAAAACTTGAATTTGAACAATTTGGTAAAAATAAAACATAATTTGAGAAAAAAAATTAACTTATTTCATAGGACCCTCACCCTATAATAAATTTATGTTAAATTGTATAGGTTTCGTGATTTCAATTAATTACACATGCTTTTTGATTATCAAAATTTAATTTAACTATTAAAATGAAGTCGAAAAAAACTGAAGGCAGAAAAATTAAAACATAAAAAATGGAATTTGTATATAAATAATACGGAATTTGGGGAAAAAATAAAACAGATTTCATGGAGACCTACATACTGTACATCAGATAGGTCTCAACTCAGAATACAACGAGCATTGTTATTTCACTAGCCAACTATAGTAAGAGTTTGTATGTGAAAACTCTCTGACAGAACGGGGCATTTATTCATGGTGTGTTCTATTATAAATAATTAGATCATGGAACGCAAAGAAATTAAGACAAAAACTTAAGATGAACGTGAGATGCAATGTACTTTTAAAACTACTTTTCACTTGACCTGCTGTCTTCAAAACATGATGCTCATTGTGTGAGATGCTGAAAAACAGCAAGGGATAGTAAAATGGCCAATAACTTTCACCTGACACATACATAGGTCAAAAATTATAAGGAGTGCAAGCAAAATACAAGAACAAATCCTGTGTGAATGGACTTTAGGTGGTATACAGATGTCACCTGTTTACCACATTTTCACTTATCAATGAAATACAAACAGAATATGGGAAATACCATATTGCTTACAGCAGATGATCTCGAATGGTCTGTATTTTTCGATAATTTCCCCAGTTATTGCCAAATAATATATAGTTCAAATGGTCTTTTTTATTAAATGTCATATAAACCTGAAGCCAGCTTTTGGAGTGCAGCTGTATTTCTGATTTTTTGACAGCTAATGGAGGTGACACTAAGAAACTGAGGGTGGAGGACAGCATGGATAGCCCACCGTCTAGAGTCATTCATATTCGGAAACTCCCCAATGAGGTTTCCGAGACGGAGGTCATCGCCCTGGGATTGCCCTTTGGAAAGGTCACTAATATCCTGATGCTTAAAGGCAAAAATCAGGTATGTGATGAGTGGTGGTGGTGGTGAGGAACATTAAACCCAGCTCCTGTTGAGAGATCTTCTGAAATTCAGTTTACTGTTTAAAATGGCTTGCTAGAAGCTGCTTTTAAATTGAATGAACAAAGTTTTTGCTCAGCCATTTAAGGAAAACACCCGTTTCTTCATTTTGAACACTTTCCCACAATTAGGCATTTTTGGAGCTGGGAACAGAGGAAGCAGCTGTTACCATGGTGAACTACTACACAGCTGTTACACCTCAAGTGCGGAATGTCCCAGTGTTCATTCAGTACTCCAACCACAAAGAGCTCAAGACTGACAGTGCGCTCAACCAGGTTTGAAAACACGTTTTAATGTTTCATAACTAAAATATGGCAGCAACAGAAGTGTGTAACTGGCATTGCTCCTGTCCTAATCTGTTCCCTTGGTTTCCTTCTGAAGCGAGCTCAGGCCGTGCTGCAGGCGGTGTCGGCAGTCCAGGAGGGCGGCTCTCCAAGCTCGGACATGGCCGGTGAGAGTGTGTTAACACCTGCCCCCAGCCCAGTACTCCGAATAATCATCGACAACATGTTCTACCCAGTCACTCTGGACGTCCTCCAACAGGTCACTGCCCACAGCAGGCATCCATCTGGAATAAACTGCAGTTAAAAACACAAGCCAAATGTATTTTTACACTCTCATGCCTCTGAATTAACATGACTTTGCCCTGATCTCTCTTAGATCTTCTCCAAGTTTGGAACCGTCATGAAGATAATCACATTCACCAAAAATAATCAGTTCCAAGCTCTTCTGCAGTTCAGTGACCCCGTAAATGCCCAGCAGGCCAAACTGGTGAGTGGACGAAGAGGAGGATTGAAACCACCGCAAACTCCATAAATGTGTAATGATGTGCCAAAGCACTGTTATGAGATTTTTAATGTAATGGTTATGGCCACAGGCAAATTATGATCCAGTCATATGTTGGTTTAGTACCTTTCTTTCAGTTATGTGATGAAATGACTGCAGTTGTCATTACTTGTAGAGGAGCGTTTTTATTACTTTTAGCCAGGGCCCTACAATATGCGCTGGATGTAATTATTCTTATCCCTTTTCACCCTTGTCATAGAATAACAAACGTGGTGCACTGTCTCTCTCTCATCCTCCATCTCTCTTTCATTAAAGTCTTTGGATGGCCAGAACATATACAACTCCTGCTGCACTTTGCGCATTGACTTCTCCAAGCTGGTCAACCTGAACGTAAAATACAACAACGACAAAAGCAGGGATTATACCCGTCCCGAGCTGCCCGCAGGAGATGGCCAACCACCTGTGGACCCGTCTGTGGCCGCCGCTCTCAGCAAAGATTCCACCTCCCTGCTCGGTATGTTAGAAACGGCTCTCATGTGTGCCTCTAACGCAAACGTTGCTCAATCACACCTTTTAAGACCCATCTTCCCTGTCATTCTCTGACATGCATCATCATCTCCTGTCTGCTTAGCTTTAGTTTCAGAGCAGGGTAGAGGTGTGAATGCTTCCCCTCTATTGTGAATCATGAGAGTTTTCTAGTTCTTTGTGGAAAATGGGTCAATGGTGCCTGAAATGCAATCCCGTCTAATTGATGTGCCATTCAAAAACGTTGCTTTACGTTTATGCCGCTTCCACGGCCCCCAGTCTGTGTTTGATCCCGTAAGACTTTGACTGTACACGTTCTCCTTAGGTACTCCCTCTGGAATGGTAACTTCCTACTCTAGTGGTGGAGGGTTTCCATCTTCTCTAGGTACCTATGCTTCCATTTACTTTCCTTTATCCTTTTGATTTTCTAACCCTACTTGAATGCGCTCTTCCCTCTGAAGGACAGGGACTTTTCCAGTGCTGTCAGAATTGGCAGGGCTTTCATGTTGAAACCACCCCAACCATTTGTCCTGACTTGACATGCAGTATTCATAAACAGTGTCGCTATTTGTCAAAGCATAAATCTGAAGCTGCAACAATAAGCCCTTCCATTCTGCATTATGGGCCTGACGCAATAGATTGACACACACTAATTAGGGGCCCGTATTTCAGACAGACTGGCAATCCAAACTGCCAAACACAAGTTCCCTTTAGCTAAAGCAGAGTACGGCCTATCGAGCGGCTAACTACAGCAAGCAGAAGGGGCCCAAAAAGCAATTTCGTTTTCGGATATTGCTCCAGAGCGCCAGTCTGTGTGAAATCGGTTCAGATAGCGATCTGCTTGGCGGCAGATATTGACTCTGGGATGTGGGTTTGCCCGAGGTGTGTGGTGTTGGCTGGGTAACTGGATGTGCTTGGTGCGTTGGGTGCAGAGAGTTAGAATGCATGGCCACAGGGCAGATCTAGCTGAGATGCTGAGCCGTTGGCTCTTCTTGGTTATGTGGTCTGACACGGTCTTTCCTCTCTTCTTCTTTCTCTCTGTAGGGGCCATTAGTCCTCTGAGTGCAGCGGCGGCGGCGGCGGCAGCTGCAGGGAGGGTGGCGCTGTCCGGACATTCGACACCTGGCGGAGTGCTCCTGGTCAGCAACCTCAACGATGAGGTCAGTACACCTCCACAGAACACCCTCACACAAACATATCCCTACTCTCTTTGTTCACAGTCTTCTCATTGTGTCAGTCAGGTCACCAGTGCACTGTATGTCTCAGGTTGTATATGTTCAGTCCTCATCTGTTTGAGTTATTTTTAGTTTAAGGGTCCCTCAACATCACCTTCATGACATTTAGCAGCAGAGCAGTGTTGACATACTTGAAACGCTGTGTTGCAAGATCACAACATAAAAAAGAGGGATTCTTGGTGATGTCATAAACATTTTCAAAGTTGTTTAATTTGAAGATATTTTTCCAGTAAGTACTAGGGCTGGGTGAAAATACAGATTTTTCATATTAATCTAGTTTTTCAATTGAAAGATCCGATATCAGTAAACCCCATGATGCTTTCAATGCATGCTTATTTTCAGTGCCTAAGTGAATTTTTTTTAAACATCTACAGGTACCTGACACATTTTGTGCTTTCAGTGTTTCGTTCCAAATCTTTCATTAACCTGTAATGGCCCAAAATATTATGATATAATATTATATCATGTCATTCCAAACCCATAATACTTTTGTTACTTTTCAGAACACAAATGAAGACATGTTTAATTTTCTCTCTTAGGGATCTAGACTAACATTTGTGAGCAGTAGCCACTCTCTACAGATAATGGCACCCTCTTTGTTTCTTGGAAATGCACATTTTACAGTAATTTTAGCTGACAGTAGCTTGAGGTGTAAGGTGTAAATTAATTTTTCATTTGCAAAAAACATCTGTAAAAATTGTATCCTCATTTTTATAGGGTAAAATCTAAATATTCTGACCGAGTTAGAACTCTGATTAAAATGGGTCTTTTATGGTATCATATCATACATTTGTAGATCATGATAGCCAGAGGTAAAACCATGCATAGCACCTTACTACCATGCAAAAAGTAACTATGGTTTTTATATTTGTTATAATAGCCTAAACACATTTAGTATAAATATAAATGCAAACAATTGATATATCCTAATAACAAAACAAAAAACTAATTATATTCCATTACTTCTTTAGTACATGTCTACATAATAATAATATTATAATAAAATTTGTCATGATTATCCCATATTTCTGCCACAATACCATGTTTACAGTTAGTGTTACTATAGTAAATCCATGGTAAATGTTTGTCATTTGTGGGTTGCAAAGCTTTCTCACTGGATCGTTGTTGTACAATTTCGATTTTCTGCATCAGTGTTTTTGAGGAAGTACAGTAAGCGCTGTTTTATCTGGCTCTAAACTAGTTTAAATCACAGAGACATTAGTTCGCCTGGCTATCGATTCAGATGTTCCGATTCGATATCGATTTGCAAGTTCTTAATTCGATTTTGATTCTAAATTCGATTTCCGATTCGACTCAATGAATATAGATTTAATACAAATCCTATATTTATAAAAAAAGAACAGTGAACATAAGATTACAAGTGATTAATTAATAAAACGAAAATTAAGAGCCACAAACCTGTATATTAAACTTTTTTTATTCTAGGTACACTTGGGGTACATTAAAACAGAATCCAACTCTATATTTAAAATGCATGCAATGAATATACAGGATTTTGATGCAAGATGAAAAAATTGATGCTGAAAATTAGACAAGTCAGAACAGTCGCATGCCTTGATCGAACAGGATCAGGTTATTTTATGTTTAAGATAAAACAAACATAAAATCTCATAGCATTAGCTGTAACGTGGAAGCTGCAAGCCAATTAACAGTGTAGGAAAACTAATACTGGCTTTTGGGTGATAGATAAATAAATATGAAAAGATTCCTGGCCTTTGAGAATTGATTTTGAATCGACCACATAAAAAAAACAAAAAACGATTAATCGGAAAATCAATTTTTTTGCCCAGCCCTAGTCATTAGTGGTTTGTGTAGGAGAACTCTGCGCAGAACTTGAACGCTTCTCACTGGATCTCTGCGCTGTTTAGTGGTTGTCTTGATCAGGACCTGTCGGTAAGCGAACGCATTCACTCTAACTCGTGCTGCTCTGTCTTTTGGGCCGAGCTATTTAGTCGCAGTTTAGAGCCCTGCTCTTTTCATTTGTCTATCTATTGAAAGTCAATGCAACCAAAACTATTATAAAATAATAATACAAATAACCCCTATTAACAGAGCAGTTTAATCAAATTTTTCTGAAGAGACTTACACCCTAGAAAGTTAGTGCCAGTCTGCAGACTTTGGGCAGTCAGATTTCACAGAAAAATCATAGTGTATGATGGGCACAGACTTTTTTATCTTCAGACTATGATTCCATCTAGTCTGAAAGAAAGTAACGTGACATGACAAATTCCATACTCTGAATTTGTCCTCTGCATTTAACCCATCCAAGTTAGTGCACATATAAACATTATGTACCCCTGCCCCATTTCAGCGCTGTGCTCATTGTGTTCTGTCTTCTGGTAAGATCCTACTGATTTATTAATGAACTGTTTGTTTTAAAATCTACTGACACTTGTTATGACATCCGATTCAAACATTACAATGCTCTTGATAACTTTCGTAAACTCTACAATAAGTAAATCCACTTCACCAGCTAATTACTCGCTGACAGCGACGCCATAGAAATATACAGAGCTACCTCACAAATGCAAGTCCAAACACGTACTTTTAAAGATGGCTATGTGCTTGTTTCTCAGGCGCATAAGGTCTACTTAACACACATAACATATGTAATTGCGTTTATTTGTCACGTCTCCTATTAACAAGGCACATGCTAATTGTTAATGAGTTAGGCCTGTAGTGTGTTTGTCTCTGTGCACCTTATGAAAAAAAAATCAGTGACAATACCCAGTCCTACTAAATACATTTTTAATACAATCCAGGGCTTCCTTTATTATCCCCAAACCACTGTAATCACATTCCCATGTTGACTTTGCTCTCTTGCTGGATGTTTTGAAGCTGATGTCAAAGTCATTTCAGTCACTTTTCTAATGTGCAGTAGATTCAGAATGATATGTTCAGTCACACACAATAAACAATAAGCAGGTGACTTTGTCTTGAATTCAGATTGACCTGTCTCTCATTTCCATCCTCAGTGTATTTCATATATTACGTTCAATGTTATTTCAGTATATTTGCAGTTAGTAGAGAATTGATAGCGAGTAGTAAATGAATTGAAACCTGTAGCTCTTTGTTCTCTATTGTGAAATTTATACTTGCAGAAATATACTGAAAGCATTCTCAGTAAGGTTTTCGTCAAAATGGAGGGTCTCTCTGCAGTCTCTCCTCTGTGCAAATTTTGATCACTGTCTCTCCTCTCTCTTTATCTCTCCCCCTCTCCTCTCTCTCTCTCTCGCACCTTTTCACGAGCGCTCTGTCTGGAAGTAATATCTAACTGTCTTTTCTCTCTAAGCTGTATCTCTCTCTTCCTCTCCTGATGCTCCACTGCCTCTCTCTAAGCTATTCAAAGTTGGTATGAAATGTGGTAGCCCCACCCGCCTCTCTCATTTCTCTCACTCTCTCTCTCTCTCTCACTTTGATTTCTGTCTTTTTTGAAGTGTCTCAGTAATTTCCCCATCATGGTTTTTTGTTTTCCCAAACACTTGTGGGTTTGTGGAGTTTTCGACATGACGTGCTCTCTATTGATGCCATAACTCTGCAAGGTGGTTTTCATGCCTACCCGCTGCATGGCCCCTCCCCCTTTACAACCATAGGCTGCTGTTTTGTTTGGTTATTGTTTCTTAATGCTTTCTCATACCAAAGCCTTCCACTTGCTCTGCATGCTTTGTCCTCCTCTCAGCGTTTCTGTGCTGCAGTTAGCTTGAGTAAATGTGCCCTGCCCACGTTCGGTCTCGGGTGACTACGTTTGGCACTGTTAAACATAGTCGGGGGAAGCAAAAGAAAAAAGAGAACCCTGCCATTTTCTGACCAAACTCCTGCATTTCCTATGTACTGACCTGTATATTATTTTTGTCCCCCCCCCCCCCCCCCCCCCCCTCCTCCAACTTATTTTCCTTTTGTGTATTTTTTTCTCCCTTTTATCCCACGCTGCTTCCAACCCCTCCTTTTTTCCTCTCCTCTCCTCTTCTGACTCCTCTGTGATTGGTTGGCCCTTTCTCTCCTGCAATCCTGTCTCCCCGCCCTCCACCCATTCATGCTTTGTGCCTGAACCAAAACAAATGTTCCTTCTCGGACCGACTTGTCCCAATTAACTGCCTTGACCCATGCTCCATGACCACCTCACCATTCTACGGGAAACCACCCTCCGTTATGGATGATCTGTTCATCTCCGCTCTACCTCGACTCTTCTCTCTTCCTGTCTTATGCTGCTTGCTCTTCTCTCCTTCTAAAGATGGTTACGCCCCAAAGTCTGTTTACCCTCTTCGGTATGTTATCGTTAGCAATCTACCTCTTTTTGTTTATCTATTGTTAATTTCATTTCAGTTGTTTTTTCTCTTTCATTTACCATTTAAGGGTTAGTTAATAATCTGCCACTAGTCTATCAACAGTTTCCTAGTTTTCCAGTTTAATTTTAGTTCTATTATGCCAAATTTCAAATGAAATAGTATTTTTTTTTTTTTTTTTTTTTTATCCTTGGCTTTCGAAGCCTCTGTCTCTATCTTGCTCTATCTGTCTCTCTTCATGTACAGCTTATATTAATGCATGGTTGATTATTTTGCATGTAGGCTTTTGATTTTAACTTTCCCATATCACATGAGCTTGTTTTTGGAGGGCGTATCAAAATGTGTTGTGTCTGTTAGAAAAAACTGTTTTGGACTCTTTGGTGTAGATAATTTGGAAGATTTGTACCATCATCTTCACCTTTCATGTCAGAACCGGAGCTTCTGAAGCACTAACTTGTCCTTCCTGGTTCACTCCTCTCCTCCTCCCTCCTTCCCTCCCTCTTCCATCTGCCCGTCGCTTAACCGAAGGTGTCTACGGTGATGTGCAGCGCGTGAAGATCCTGTACAATAAGAAGGACAGTGCTCTAATCCAGATGTCTGATGGAAACCAAGCCCAGTTAGGTAAGCTGATGCGCAGTTTTTTTGTGATTAACACCATGTAATGTGCTTATTTCATGGCGCACATCCGTGTCTTCGTGATCTAGCCATGAGCCATCTGAATGGGCAGAAGATGTATGGCAAGATCATTCGTGTGACCCTCTCCAAGCACCAGACAGTACAGCTGCCTAGGGAGGGTTTAGATGATCAGGGCCTGACCAAGGACTTCACCAGCTCTCCACTGCATCGCTTCAAGAAGCCTGGGTCTAAGAACTTCCAGAACATCTTCCCCCCTTCAGCTACACTTCATCTCTCTAACATACCGTGAGTATGCAGGAGAACTGTCTTCCTATTACTGAAGATCTGCCGGCTTTGCAGACTTGTACAGTCCTAATGAATGGGAATGGTGATTTTTCTGTAGGTTTTGTCATTGTATTAATGCATGTTGTGTATTGTTCTGGCATCATAAATCTTTGACCAACTGCTGACCATCTTTTTCAATTAATCCCTTGCAGTGTTTTTCAGTTCAAGTCTGAGATTAAAATGTGGCTACTAAGGAAAATTTGTTTTTCTTTTTATTGGTTCATGCATCATAATAACATTTTACCATTTACTCTGAGGAAATGCTAATAACTGCTTGTTTCCCCTCCAGTGATAATGTGACAGAGGAGGATTTACGACTGCTCTTCTCAAACTCCGGCGGTACAGTGAAGGCGTTCAAGTTTTTCCAGTAAGAACACTGCATTTCATTTCTCAGCTGTTCATGCATAGTCATCGCTTTGACTGCCATGTTTGTTTTTCCCTTCTAGAGATCGCAAAATGGCTCTGCTGCAGATGTCCACGGTGGAGGAGGCGATTCAGGCTCTCATCGACCTTCACAACTACGACATGGGCCGTGGTCACCGCCTGAGGGTGTCCTTCTCAAAGTCCACCATCTGAGGATTCCCTGATGCTATGTCACCTTTCCTTTCACCCCCCGCCCAGGAGCCTCAAGTTGAATTCAATTTTACCAGTCATTCCTTAACACCATATCAAACACTTCAATGAGAATGGCCTGTTAAAGGAACACTCGTTCTGTATCTGCTCCTGCTATTATTTGTTTGGCCAGCTGTTATTCTATTTTAGGATGGATTGACAAAAATGTGCCTTACTTAGCAAAATAGCGTCATCTTTTTGTTCCTGTCATTACAGATTATAGAGGTACTTTGTGCGTGATGATTTTTTTTTAACCTTTACAATCACTTTGCTTTGTTGTTTTGAAAGTGATAGTTTACTTAGCTCTTGTGTCCTCACCATGTCATTTTTTTAACAATTTTCTAGCTCTGAAAGCTAGTCGGCTTGCTTTGATTCAAAGGTAAAAGCTACATTTTTTATGGTCTGTTGAATTGAACCTAATTTCATTTGATTGAATATACTCCCAAGTTGTAAATTATCTTGTGCATTTGTAGTTTTTTTCTCTTTTTCTTTGATCAGGCACCCAAGGTACTTTTTGTGATTGAAACCTGTGGTAAACAAAACAATGACAGTGGGGAGCATAGTGTGTGACGTATAGTACCTGCTTTGATATTTCTCACTCACTTTTGCTTCAGTGAATTCTGTTACCCATTTTTAGAAGAAAACCAAGAGCATGTGCTGATGGATCTCAGCAGTTGCATGTGTCAGATAGACCATGTTTGATGTTGTGATGTCTCATTAATGTAGGGACTGTTGGGACCAAAGTAAATGTGCCTTTAGTCTTACTTTATTCTGCATTGTACACATGGTTTTACCTCTGGAATATTTTTAGTAATGGAGAAAAAAACAAAATCAGACTTTCCAACAGACATCACTCATACAAATGATCCTTAATTGTCTGTGATTGTAATTGTGTGAGTCGCTCACTAAATCTACTGAAAAATGCCGTGTTTTTTTTGTGGTTTAGGTTGTGGAAAGGGGAGGGGGGCGTTCTGTACATTTTCTACATGAATTGAGTTTTTACATCTGTAGGAATGTAAAGTCCAGTATAGATGCGGCACAATTAAAAGTTAATTTTTCTACCAAGCTTGTGCTTAACGGTCCCTGTGGTGTGGTGTTGTGCTTTTATCCTGTAGCATGCTGAATAAACTCTTCTCGCTCTACATTCACCTCTGCCTCTCTGCTGTCTCTTTCTCTTCCTCTACTGTCCTTTGTATCACACTTTGCTCATTTTCTCTGATGCACTCTGTCTACGGTTGAAAAAAAACTAGCTTGCCTCATTATAAAAATACTGGAAGTCAATACACCCTGGAAGTAAAACGTTAAAACTGCAATCTTCGACTTTATTTGCAGTAATAACTTTGCCAACCTGTTGTCATGTGTCCTCTGTCATTCTCTATTTCCTCATGCTTATCTCCAAATCTCTCTGTCCACTTTTGACTTTGCAAAATTAAACTGCATATCAGTGTGGCTATAATCTCTGAGAGCAGGGTGTTGGGGTTTCAGATTGATACCCGTGTGTTTGCATGTAGTTAAACGGGAAAAAAGTTGCTTGCCGTATCCAGCCTTTCAACGTGTGCTGATTGTGCGTTGAAGCAATTGGTTGTCTGCTGGAGAAAGGACAATCATCTGGCACTGATTTAAGCTAAGGCGCAAGGTAAAAAAATTGCAGCTTGCACCGTTTTTGTGAACTGGTATAAACAGTAAAGTAATGCAGTGCCAGAATCTCTCTGGGAGAGTGTTTCTGTTTTGTTAAGCATGGCGTCTTTTTTATAGAAAAAGCTTTCAGAGTACAATGCTTTTTCTACAGTCTATCTTGAAGGAGATTTAGCGTAATGGGGTTGTGTTGCCTCTAGGATAGGTTACTTGGCATCATGAAATCTGAATATTTTGGATTTTGCTATGTAGAACAGTGTGATAAGGCTGTTTTTGGCAAATGTCATTGGCCTTAAAAAACATTGAGCCAAAACTAGAAAAGTAATGTGTGTCTTTACACCCAGTAGTTTCTTAAACTTTTTTTTTCCAAAGGATCAAACCAAGTTCTGGTGTTTTTTCTGCAATTGACAAAGCTGCTTGTTTTCAAACTAGGTAGTATTGATATATTAAATTAAGCACGATTCATTTTGTTCTTCAAAACAGTAGTTGTACCCTCAGTTTCACAGACAAGGTAGCCTGGTTTAAACCAGACCATTCTCAGTTGTAACTGAGTTATGGTCTGGCAAAGCGTCATAGACAAATCATTTCCAGAGGGGCGTCACCAACGGACGTCGCGGATAGACCTAAAACCAATCAGAGCGATGAAGGAGATGACGTATGCAGAGCGGCAGAAACATCTCCGAGTGTTGTTCTTTGCTCGGTTTTTAACAAAAAGGAAACGTTTAAATCGCTTAAAACAGACGCGATAGCTGATTCGAACGAGTGATGTTCGACGGCGGCATCCATCTTTGTAATGTAGGTAGGCTACAAAATCTGCTTCAAAATCCCAGCGCTGTCGTCATCGTGTAAAGCCCGCCCCAACGCTTCTGATTGGTGCCTCGATTTCGACGGATTGGAAATGGGCTTGAATGAGCTCTTTGCCAGACTAAGGCTGTGTCCGAAATCTCCCACTACTCACTATATAGTGGACTATATAGTGAGCTCGCCATTTTGTAGTGCTGTCTGAATGTATAGTGATGATTATTATAGGCCTACCCTATATAGTCCACTCAATGTATACCAGAATGCATTTTGAAAAGTAGCGTACAACCGATGGTCACTAACCCAAGCCCTACATACCATCATGCATTGCGCTGATCGTAAAAGACCTATCAGCATCATCTTCATCTTTAACTTACAATTTGACGGCGTCTCGCTAGCGTAGCAAGAACGTACTCGGTTACTAACGTAACCTCGGTTCTCTCTAGAGAGGGAACGAGTACTGCGTAATAGCTTTACGCTAGGGGAAAAACTCTTTTCCCCGAGATATTGAAGCCAAAAATTATCCTTAATTTTTTATTAATGTAAAACGCTTTGCAGCAGCAAGCAGACATAGGCGAAACAGCTCGCGTGCCTATTGGTTGCTCTTGCGGCAAATGCAGCAGCCTATCGAGAGAGACTCTGCGTGACGTAATGACCAATGGGGGCAATTCGCGCCCATATCGTCACGTCCCGCCAGAAAGGGCGTGGTCTCACCCTATAAATATGCTCGTTAGGCTGGTACAAGCTGTTTTTTATCGCTGAAGCGAACCAGAGCGTATTCCAAGCACGGCAAGATACGCAGTACTCGTTCCCTCTCTAGAGAGAACCGAGGTTACGTTAGTAACCGAGTACGTTCTCTTACGAGAGTATCTCTCGTACTGCGTAATAGCTTTACGCTAGGGGAACACAATGCAACACGCCGTGCGTACAGGGATCCAACACCAAAGTCCCAAGGGCCGAAGCCCAGGGCTCATGTAGTGCACCATAAACTCACATAGAGTGGAGGAAGAGAGGCTGGAAGCGTCATTCCCTATAAAAAAGCACCCAGCGGGGCTATCATATGACAATAAAACGCGCAGCCAGGGTAAAAGCTTTCAGCCTGATCTGGGTGGCCATACGTGTGTCAACACTCATGGGGCTGCAGTAAACTCAGCATCTGGGCCGCACAGCGGGGCAGATAGCACTGAATTTTAGACCGCCAAAAGCTTAGCTTGTAAGGCGGGTACCTCCAGGTTATAGTATTTTATAAATGTAGACGGCGAGGCCCAGCCCGCGGCCGTACAGATATCTTGCAGGGAAACCCCGCTCGACCAAGCCCACGAAGAGGCCACGCCTCTCGTGGAGTGCGCTCTGACACCCAAGGGGCACTGTAGGCCCTTTGCAGAGTAAGCGAGCGCAATGGCATCCACTATCCATCTGGATAGGCTCTGTTTTGAGGCGGCGAGTCCCTTGGAACGCCCGCCAAACAAAACGAAAAGCTGCTCCGTCTGTCTGAAAATAGACGAGCGTGACACATAAGCTCTCAATGCCCTGACGGGGCAAAGGAGACTCGCGTCCTCCTCCTCACTGAGAACCGGAAGGGCGGACAGGGAAATTACCTGGGCCCGAAACGGTGTATTGAGGGATTTCGGGACATACCCGTGCTTAGGTTTGAGAATGACCTTCGAGTCATTAGGCCCAAACTCCATACACGACGCGCTTACTGAAAGCGCCTGCAAGTCCCCTATGCGCTTCACTGAAGCGAGAGCCATGAGAAACACTGTTTTGAACGACAGGTGTTTCATGTCCACCAGCTGGATTGGCTCGAACGGGGCGCCTTTCATGGCCTCCAGGACCGTGGAAAGGTCCCACGTCGGGACTGAAGGGGGCCTGGGAGGGTTCAGCCTCCGAGCTCCCCTAAGGAAACGCACAACTAAGTCGTTTTTCCCCAGCGACTGGCCAGACACCGGTTTTGCAAACGTTGCTATGGCCGCCACATATACTTTGAGCGTGGATGGGGTCCTGCCCTTATCCAGTAGCTCTTGAAGGAAGGAAGCACTTCCGAAACCCCGCATTCCACAGGTGAAAAGCTCTGGGCTTGACACCATGCAGAGAAAACAGACCATTTCGAGGAGTAGAGCCGCCTGGTAGACGGAGCTCTAGCCTGCGCGATCGTGTTTAACACTCCATCTGGGAGGCTAGCGGGTACCCGTTGATGGCCCATGCGTGCAGGGACCACAACTCCGGGCGAGGGTGCCAAATCGAGCCCTCCGCCTGAGAGAGGAGGTCCCTCCTCAATGGTACAGGCCATGGGGCAGTGCTGGTCAGCTGCATCAGGGCAGGGAACCACGTCTGGTTTGCCCAGAGCGGAGCTACGAGCAGCACTGGGCAACCGTTCTCCCTGATTCGTTCCAACACCTGAGGCAGGAGCGAGACAGGAGGAAAAGCATATAGGGGGCAGCGGGGCCAAACATGAGCCAGCGCGTCCTTGCTTTTCGAGAAAAACTCCGGGCAATGAGCGTTTTCGTGGGACACGAATAGGTCCACCTGTGCTCTGCCGAACGTTTTCCACAGCAGCTGGACCGTCTGCGGGTGCAGCGACCATTCCCCTGCTGGAACATTGTTCCTGGACAGTCTGTCTGGTCCCACATTCAGGTGACCAGGCACGTGCGCTGCTCTCAGTGAGAGCAGGCCGTGTTGAGCCCAGACCAGGAGGCGTTCCGTCAGCCTGTGAAGGTTTCGTGACCTGACGCCGCCCTGGCTTTTTATGTATGCCACCACTGACATGTTGTCCGACCGGACCAAGACGTGGTGGCCTGTTACCTGGGGACAAAAACGCCGTAGCGCTTTGTCGACTGCTATCAT